GTACTTATTGGCCCCCAGCAGCACCCCATTTAAGCATGTTCAGGTGAGTTCAGCCAGCCCCTTGTTTTCACAAAATGATGTTAGTGAAGAAAAAATGTTTTACAAGATATTAATTTCATGTTAATTTACATCTGCATCACTGGGCTAATGTGGCTAAAATGTGTAATATAAATACATATAGGCAATAAAGATATAATATATATATATATTAATGTATGTATTTATATTAAGGATATTGTCCATTCAGCACTATACAGTATACTTTCATTGTTTCTGTACCAGTCGTTCACACATCCCCTCCTTGTCATATACAGAGTGCATTGTGTTACTAGAACCTGGCAGTTTATATATAATATCTGGTGAATTCAGAGCACAGTTAAACAATCCTGACCTGTCAATCACACCAATATTCTTCTCGAAAGATGTGGCTCTAACACCAAAAGAGGTCAATGGATTTCTGACTAATTTCTCTCTTTTTTTAAAGAACAAAAATGTGTTTAGATGGGAAAAGATTCTATTTCCCTGTCTATATTTTCTATTTTATTATATTATTCTATTTCTCTCTCTATTTTTTTCTTTTTTATTATATTATTCTATTTCCCTGTCTATATGTTCTGTTTTACTCTATTTTTCCTGTCCATGTGTTTCTGTTGTTTTTATTCTATTATTCTATTTTTCCTGTCTATATGTTTCAGTTGTTTTTATTCTATTATTCTATTTTTCCTGTCTATGTTTCTATTGTTTTTATTCTATTATTCTATTTTTTCTGTCTATATGTTTCTATTGTTTTTATTCTATTATTCTATTTTCCAGGTCTATATGTTTCTGTGGTTTTTATTCTATTATTCTATTTTTCCTGTCTATATGTTTCAGTTGTTTTTATTCTATTATTCTATTTTTCCTGTCTATGTTTCTATTGTTTTTATTCTATTATTCTATTTTTCCTGTCTATGTTTCTATTGTTTTTATTCTATTATTCTAATTTCCAGGTCTATATGTTTCTGTTGTTTTTATTCTATTATTCTATTTTTCCTGTCTATATGTTTCTGTTGTTTTTATTCTATTATTCTATTTTTCCTGTTTATATGTTTCTGTTGTTTTTATTCTATTATTCTATTTTTCCTGTTTATATGTTTCTGTTGTTTTTATTCTATTATTCTATTTTTCCTGTCTATACGTTTCTATTGTTTTTATTCTATTATTCTATTTTTCCTGTCTATACGTTTCTATTGTTTTTATTCTATTATTCTATTTTTCCTGTCCATGTGTTTCTGTTGTTTTTATTCTATTATTCTATTTTTCCTGTCTATATGTTTCAGTTGTTTTTATTCTATTATTCTATTTTTCCTGTCTATGTTTCTATTGTTTTTATTCTATTATTCTATTTTTTCTGTCTATATGTTTCTATTGTTTTTATTCTATTATTCTATTTTCCAGGTCTATATGTTTCTGTGGTTTTTATTCTATTATTCTATTTTTCCTGTCTATATGTTTCAGTTGTTTTTATTCTATTATTCTATTTTTCCTGTCTATGTTTCTATTGTTTTTATTCTATTATTCTATTTTTCCTGTCTATGTTTCTATTGTTTTTATTCTATTATTCTAATTTCCAGGTCTATATGTTTCTGTTGTTTTTATTCTATTATTCTATTTTTCCTGTTTATATGTTTCTGTTGTTTTTATTCTATTATTCTATTTTTCCTGTTTATATGTTTCTGTTGTTTTTATTCTATTATTCTATTTTTCCTGTCTATGCGTTTCTATTGTTTTTATTCTATTATTCTATTTTTCCTGTCTATACGTTTCTATTGTTTTTATTCTATTATTCTATTTTTCAGGTCTATATGTTTCTATTGTTTTTATTCTATTATTCTATTTTTCCTGTCTATATGTTTCTATTGTTTTTATTCTATTATTCTATTTTTCAGGTCTATATGTTTCTATTGTTTTTATTCTATTATTCTATTTTTCCTGTTTATATGTTTCTGTTGTTTTTATTCTATTATTCTATTTTTCCTGTCTATGCGTTTCTATTGTTTTTATTCTATTATTCTATTTTTCCTGTCTATACGTTTCTATTGTTTTTATTCTATTATTCTATTTTTCAGGTCTATATGTTTCTATTGTTTTTATTCTATTATTCTATTTTTCCTGTCTATATGTTTCAGTTGTTTTTATTCTATTATTCTATTTTTCAGGTCCACATGTTTCTATTGTTTTTATTCTATTATTCTATTTTTCCTGTCTATATGTT